GCGGCGCATCCGCCACAGCACACCGACTTTCTTGGTGAGGCGGGCAACGCACCTATCCATCTGGGTGTTCCAAGACATGGCGCTGTCAATGTGAACTCCGAGGTAGCGAGCAGAAGAGACAGATGGCAGCTTAGTCGCATGACACCATACGTCCAGTTCAGGTTGCGCTTCTAGCTTCCCAGCCGGTACTACCAATGCCTGACTTTTTGATGCATTAAGGATCAAACCTCGCTGCTTCAGCCAGTCAGCAATGCATGTCACTGCTCTGGAGAGAGTGGCGGTCAGTTCCTGTTGTGTTGGGCGACTGCAGGTCAGTGCGATGTCATCTGCGAACTGGATGGACTCAGCTTGCTGGGCAACAGATGGTATGTCCCGGGTGTAAAGGCTGAACAGCAGTGGACCTAATACCGACCCCTGTGGTACTCCACAGGAGCAGGCTGCCACTGTGCTAAGCTGGGATCCCAGCTGGACAATCTGGCAGCGATCAGACAAGTATGACATGAGCCACTGGAGCGCTGTTCCAGTGACGCCCACACAGAAGAGATCTTCGACTAGTTGCTGGTGGCGAACCTTGTCGAACGCCTTCGACATATCCAGGAGGACCACACCCGTGAACATGCGGCGGTCTCTTGAGGCGAGGATCCTGTTTACCATCAGCACAAGGGCATCCTCCGTGGAATGTCCTGTCCGGAATGCAAACTGTGTGCTGGGCAGAGAACCAGCCATATCCAGAAAGGTGACAAGTGCCTTCTGCACCACCTTCTCTAGCAGCTTCGAGAGAATTGGGAGCAGGGACACAGGACGGAAATTGTTGGCGACAGATGGATCGCCAGCCTTGTGCAATGGGGTCACATACGCACGCTTAAAGCCAGCGGGTACAGTGCCGGAGGTCAGGGACGCATTGAAAAGTGCTGCAACTGATGGTGCTAGCAGGTCGGCACAGTACTTTAGAAGTAAGCCTGGGATGCCGTCGCTCCCAGTTGCTTTGCGCGGGTCGATGCGCTTCAAAAGCTGTTCAGCATCGCAGGCACGCACATGTTGGAATGAGGTCAGGGCAGACCGAGGCTGTGGTCCCTGAGGCATAGAGAGAACTGAAGGTCGAGCATCATCAGAGACTACCTTGCCAAACGTGGACGCAACATGTTCGATGTCGCATGTCGGCTGGATTGATTGTCTCTTGCGTCCAGTCACAGTATTTAGGACTGACCATAACTTGCGTGGGTTCTGGCAATTATCTTGGCACTGACTTTGGAAGTACTGGTTGCGTTTGCACCTGTTTGTATTCGCAGCAACCGAGCGGGCACGTCTATATGCTGCGTGAGCTTCAGAGTTGGCTTTGTCAGCAAGCCACTTTCGATGCAGGCGACGCTTCAGCTGGTTTATCTTGTATAGCTCTCTGTCAGACCATGGAGGATGAAGCTTGCCTGTCTTAATCTTGCATTGCTGCAATGGCGCATGCCTGTCGAGGACAGAAAGGAATCGTTGATGCCAGTGGTCCCACATGGCTTGCACATCAGAGTCTGGTGGGTACACATGAAGTTCAGCAGCAGCTAGGTCAAGTCGGAAGGCAACCAAGTCAATGTTATCTAAACGGCGACGCACACGCTGCTTGGGGATGTCTGGCCGGGCATGTCTTGCATTGAAGGTTGCTTCAACTCCAAAGTGGTCACTGAGTGTAAGCGGCAGGACTCGGCAATCATGCAAATCCTTATCCTCTGTAGTCAGTATCAGGTCAATAGTAGTGCCAGCTGGACACCGAGGTGAGACTCGCGTAACGGAGTGGACGATATTAGTGAGGCCATATGCACCACAGAGATCCAGAAGGGGCTGGGCATGCTGTGGCTGGGAATGCGAGATATTGACATTGAAGTCACCCATCAATGTGACGGCTGAGGTAACCATAGCAGCTTGATGCAGCGATGCCTCAAGGGTGGACCAGTAGGAGACTGGCGCATCTGGTGGTCGGTATATGCAGCCAATTAAGTGATTGCCTGCCTTTCCATTTAGCTCAACCCACACTACCTCCGTGTCCCCTTGGTTGAGATCCGGCCGTGGTTTGATGGGCAAGTAGGACCGGTAAAAAATACAGACGCCACCTCCTTTTCTCCCCTTTCGGTCATTTCTCACCAAACTGTATCCTTCAATGTTCACTTCTCCATCAGCTATAGACGCGTCCAGCCATGTCTCCGCAATCCCAACAACATCCCATGTCCTTTCCCTAATCAGAGCGGACAGCGTGTCTATCTTGTAGCGCAGGCTGCAGATGTTAAGGAATCCAATGGTGGTATGTGTTGAATGAGATTGTGGCAGTCTGTTAATAGATACGGTAGCAGCCTGAGGGTAGAACTCCCGCGCAACTGGATTTAGCTTACTCATTGAGAGCTAGATGAAGGTTGCATTTTGCATGGTATTCCCTGTTGCAAACCACCAGTCCTCAATTGGGAAAGGCCTTCGCGCTTATGGCATTGTATTCGTCGCAATGTTGTCTTTCGACTCCGCCGTACCGCTGATGTTGCTGCATGGCATACGCTATATGCGCTGTGTGTGTTTTGCTGTATACGCTGTTATGTCCAGTTTTATATGCGTATGTTTTTGCATGTACGCTGTTTTTGCATGCTATAAATAGCTGGTGTTATTAGTGTTCATTGTTAATTATTCGATGAAGTGAAATATACTGTGTAAAGGAAAAGAGTTGTCCTCGTGCCGTGTGGTCGTACGATCCTGACAATTTAGAGAATCTTAGAGGGTTCATAACACCGACATTTCACAAAGGCTTTTACTGTATTCAAAAAACGAGTGGATACGAAGGCAGTGAAGAACATGGAAGAAAGAAAAAATGTGATATGGGAAAAATGATGAACAAATATCGTACTTCGAACTAGTTTTCGCACAACACTCCTCAGGAAGCTACGTTGTACTAATGAAAAACAATCCAGAAAGATACTAATAAAGAGAAATGGAGTGAGAAGAAACAACACCTATGAAAATAGCACTAAGGTAATAACAGGAAAAACTGTGAAAGCACTGGCCAACCAGGGCCAAACAGACAGAACAAGCTGCTACTAAAACAATTTCAAACGAATAATGCTGTCCTTCTGGACACACAGAATAGGCTTATGAATACGTTGACAAACAGCTTCTAACACACTCAACTGCAACTTATAACCATGACGAACACGGCACAAAACAGAAAAAGAAGAATCAGAATAAACCTTGCAGCAATCAGGACGAGATACAAGATGCTTATACACTGATGACTTCCTACTAGAAAACACACGCTCGCACCCACTCTTACTCACACAATCATTCTCGCTCTCACACTCACCGGACTCACTGGACTCACTGGCCGAATCCTCCTCAACGACGTCCTGCCTTGGAGCAATCAGGTCCCGTCTCCTCCCATCCCTCGTCTCACGTTCCTGTTGTGTATTCCGTTGGCTCGGTACTTCCGTACTGAAATAGGTCATGGTGTAATTAGCAGTTGTTCTTCTGGGTCTCGTTGATATTGAGGTAGGTATTGTTGTCGTCTCTGCCAGTGATGCAGCAAGCGATGAAGACGCAAACGTGTCTGCATGCAACACACGTGGCGTCGCCAAAGCCACATCCACCTCCGCTGGTGGAGGGAGTGACTTGGTCATGGCCACGGGAGCCAATGGTGGACTTGCCGTGTGGGACGCTAGGTCCTGTTTTGGCGGAGGTAGTGGTTGTTTACGGGGTCTTCCCCGCGTGGGACGCTCCAGTTGTGCGCTACGTGGGATAATGTGTAAAGGAGTGTGTTGCTTGATGCGTTCGCTCAGGTGCTGAACAGTCCTACCAACATACCGGCTAGCACAATTCCGGCATTCAAAGTTGTAGATTACATGACTTAAATGATGGGTTGGTAGGACGTCCTACCAACCCCACCAACCCGTCCTTGTTTTTTCGAATTTACAAATTCGATTTTCAGCAAATTTTTGGGTAGTCTGCCATCTTAAGTGCTTTCGCAGTTTTTCCTGTTATTACCTTAGTGCTAGGATTATCATTTTCATAGGTGTTGTTTTTCTCACTCCATTTCTCTTTATTAGTATCTTTCTGGATTGTTTTTCATTAGTACAACGTAGCTTCCTGAGGAGTGTTGTGCGAAAACTAGTTCGAAGTACGATATTTGTTCATCATTTTTTCCATATAACATTTTTTCTTTCTTCCATGTTCTTCACTGCCTTCGTATCCACTCGTTTTTTGAATACAATAAAAGCCTTTGTGAAATGTCGGTTCAGCTCGTTCTGTTGATCGCAATTCTAAAACTATTGTCGCCTCGACGCCTATTTAAATATTATTATTTATTATTGGCTCAACATTCGAGTTTCAAATTGCACACCTGATGAGCCGTCACGAACCATACGGCGAAACGTACGTCGTGTGAAACAAGTTGTTTTGTAATATGAGAAATATAAGTTTATGAGAAACAAAAGGTAGAAGGTTCTATAGACTTTCTCGTGTGCTCTGGATTGCAGTCGTGAGTGAGTCAAGTGAGAATTCAAGTCGGCAGGAAAAGCGGGAGCACCCACATAGGGAGCAATTCCCCAAGTATCGCCGAAGTCGCACCAAACTCTTCTTCAATATGAGAAACAAAATACTTCAGATTGAAGTAGAGTAATTGGATGATAGTCGGGAAGAGAAAGATCTGTCCCACTGTTGAGTTCTCTCCCGCTTCAAATATCTCATGACGGAGATGAATCAAAAAGTAATGGAATCAAATCATTCGGACAGTAATGATTACAAAATCAGTCCAGTTATTGACCAGTGAGGACTCAGGTGGTACTTCTAGAGGGTGGGAACATACAAGTAGCAAGACTTGTATAAAGATGGGCTGATAGACATTTAAATATGTGTTGTGACCCAGCAAATGTGGATCTTGCTTCCGTGCAAAACAATTGCTGAAAAACCTTTAGTTTTTGTGGTGTTTGATTGGCTTTTGTATATTCAATTAGTGGACTTTAGTTACCAAGAACAATTTCTTGTCACTCGATCGATACTTGGTCACTCCAATTAGCGAGTGCAACAATCCAGTACAGGTTACCTGTGACGTTCGGGATGGTTTCCACAGCGCCCGTTCTCTCGTGTCTACCAGTGAGAGTGTGACGATCATGATCAACTGTGAGTTGAATGATGTCACCAGTTTGCCACGGTTGACCAAGGGCTGTGCCAGTGTGGTACTCACTAGCACCAGCGCCATGCCAACCAAAACATTGTGTCTTGTCCTGTTGGTGATGTTTCAGGTTTGGATTACTGGATGAACAGGCAGAGAGGAAGATGTTACCATGCTGGGTCTTGTCAATCCTCACCTTCAGTGTACTGCTACCAGTATCAGTGACCATAGGTGTGGTACATGCTGATCTATGACCACTACCGGTCTTACTCAGTGTGCGTCCATCATTGGTGATCTTCAACCCACTACCACATCGACTGTTATCAAACAGTGGCTGACTGGGAGTAGATATTATCTTGAGTTGCTGTGGACTGTCTTGCAAATGCCTGTATCCAATAATAGCTGATACACAGTAGCGACCAGCTGCCAATCGATCATGTCCAATCTCTAAACGTCCAGGTAATGATTCACAGCGATTGCGCACAGCGGAAAATTCGTCATTACCAAGACTGCATACGGAAATCTCCAGTCCGATGTTGTCGAGTTGATCCTGACTAACACTGCATGCTGGAGTATTGGTAGCACTGGCAGTGGCAGCATCTACAGTGTGTGATGACGTAATCCCAACACTGAGTATGACATTATCACGAGTCGTGGCTTTGTCTGGACAATCCAGTACAGCATGATCGGCTATATCTAGTACAGTACCAGACTTGCCAATGTCATTCAGTAGTTGTGTGATGTCAGTGCTGGCAAACACAAGCCCACTGGACACGTATGGAACTTTATCTTCTTCAGCTGTTCGCATCGCTTTGTTCAATGACTCGTCGACCCATGTCCATATACGGAGCAGGTCCACATCGTCCGTGAATGACTTCACAATATTCGCTGCACTCTTCTCCTGCGATACACACTCCCGAAGTCGGTTTTGTTGTTCCTCCAATGCCAGCATCTTCTTAGATCGCATGTTGTCCAGCTCTGCAAGGAGTTCATTCTCACGCTTCACAACTGCCTCTGTTAACAGTTTGGAGAACTCAGTGACTTTTGCTGAGGCCAACTCGGTTTGGTCATTGAGTTTCTGAATGTTTGTTTGAACATTGCTCAATGCTTCGGTTATGATTCCATCACCTGTTGACGTACTGCTGCCAAGCTTATCTGCTAGCACATCCCGTGTCTTTTGACCAGCACTGGCAATATCCAAGACTTGATGATCTTTCTTGTGTGAATGTGCCTGTTTGCACTTTGGACACAGCAACTGGTTACACTGGACGCAGAATCCATCAACGAACTCACTTGTATGCAGTACACACCTGTGCTGTGTAGCAGCAGATCTGCTGGTCGATCCTGCAGAAGACGAGGCATGCTCCATTTGGGATAATGGCTTGACGATGTGACCCTTGGTGGATTTGAATAGTGGATGACTAGTTGCGTGTGCAGCGCACATTTTCACCTGGCAGTGCTCACACCCGCTGGTGGCGATGGTATCATCTCCACACTCTTCACACATGGGTTTCCCAAGGGTCTCGTCTCCCGCCACAGAATCTCCACTGTCCACAACACTTGGGAGCGATCGCAATGGCTCTACGCCCACACGCAGCAGAGTGATGGACAAACATTTTGGACATTTGATTGAACCGTCAAATGAAATACTGTTCTGCACACAGGGTACGCACAGCGTGTGCAGGCAGGAGACAAATTTCAGAGCTGTGCTCGATGAGCCACAACCGTTGCACTGGAGAGAAGACATTGCTATCGTCGTAAGTCGTAACGATTCCTGAAGACTATAACGTCGTATCGACCCCAGGCACAGTTGAAATCATGTGCACCTAGTCTTTAGAAAATGGGCAGTTTCTAGAAAATCAGTTTGGTGATCCACAGGAACTGTTGATCTTTTGCTGTCACAAGAAGCTTTTTTTTGCCTTGATAATCATGTACGTAGATCTACGTACAGCTAGCTAGCTCAAGATTGCAAGGACGGTTTGCGCCAGGGAGTCGTAAAAGCCCGGGAGAGGACACGGGATGCGCGCACGCGGACGATGTTTGCCTCGGCCAGAAAGTGAAGCACGCTAGGCCGGCGCGGCCGGATCTGCTCGATCCACGGCGCTGTGCTCGTTTTCAGGGCAGGGAGTCCTAAAATACCAATATTTTACGACTCGTTGTTGACACCATTATCCGAAACTGGTGGCGAAGGAAGCATAAACATGATTTGTCAGACTCAGTACACATGGTACAGGGAGTGGGGAGTTGACAGTGTGTGTGTGTGTGGGGGGGGGGGGGGGGGGCGTGTGTATGTGCACATGTGCTTGTACTTTTGTGTGTGTTTGCACAGTGTTTGTGTGTGTGTATGTGCGCGCGCGCGTGCGTGCGTGTGTGCGCATTTTCGTGCACAATTCCGTTATGAAAAACAAATGATAGGTTTACCTTTTGTACACTCGCCAAGACTTCGGTTAGATTCACTGAGAACCTTTCTGGCCAACCTGGAGGCTGAGCCTTCCGTTTCCTAAACGGCTAAAGTCACCACGTACTCAGTATACGAGTAGAAAAGTGTTGTAGATAGATAGGGAACACACATTGATTGTTTTTAAAAGAATCCAGGCAATATCATAAATCATGGAACGAGTGCGTAATAATGCTCTATGTTGCGTTTTGACGATGCTGAAGGAAGGGAGCTGTTGCGATTCACTCACAACACACACACTCGACTGCAATTTCAGTGCAATTTCTGACACAAGTTCATAAATCCACGAGTACGAGGAAGCTCAGCGGATCTCCACAAGAACTTTCGCCCATCACCTGCAATGGAATATGGGCTGTATGATATGACCAGCGGCTAACATGGGAAGTGGCGTCATTTTCCACAAATCTCGTTTCATTCACAACCATTTGACTGCAATTCAGTGCAATTTCTGCCACAAATTCAACTCCACGAGTACGAGGAAGCTCAGCGGATCTCAACACGAACGTTCGCCCACCACCTGCAATGGAATATGGGCTGTATGATACGACCAGCGGCTAACACGGGAAGTGGCGTCTCTTTCCACAAATCTCGTTTCATTCACAGCCATTTGACTGCAATTCAGTGCAATTTCTGCCACAAATTCAACTCCACGAGTACGAGGAAGCTCAGCGGATCTCAACACGAACGTTCTCCCATCACCTGCAATGGAATATGGGCTGTATGATACGACCAGCGGCTAACACGGGAAGTGGCGTCATTTTCCACAAATCTCGTTTCATTCACAACCATTTGACTGCAATTCAGTGCAATTTCTGCCACAAATTCAACTCCACGAGTACGGGGAAGCTCAGCGGATCTCAACACGAACGTTCGCCCATCACCTGCAATGGAATATGGGCTGTATGATACGACCAGCGGCTAACACGGGAAGTGGCGTCATTTTCCACAAATCTCATTTCGTTCACCCCAACTCAAATAAAAGTGAAGTACAATAAGGGATTTATCTTGCATTTCCATCGCCTCAGAATAAATTAACTTCGATAAACTGAGAGAGAATGAGTGAGGCAGCTGGAAGAATTGAGGATGAAAATAGAGATTAGAAGACTCGACGGAGAAATCGTCTCCGTGCTCTAAGAGAAATCGGAGAATGTCCCAATTAGTATTTCAAGAAGACATCACAATTTTCGAAAATAATAATTTCCTTGCCTCGCTACACCGTTCCCAAGGCCCTGGCGCAGCGTTCCCCGGCAGCGCGAGGCAAAGATGTTTTCTGGGAATGTGTGCCGTGTCCTCTCCCGGGCTTTTACGACTCCCTGGTTTGCGCTATCTGTTAGTGTAGTGTCTGCCAGCCTGCTCGTGTCTGAGGCACTTTGGGCTTACAACAGAAAGTGATACAGGCTGACAGCACTAGCGGGAGGAAAACAAGCTCTTGGTCTTAAACCTCTTCACTTCATAATACCACACAGCAATGAGAAAGAATGATGGGTTTATATAGGCCAGAGGGAGAGAGCAGCTGGGAGCGAGGGCAAAAGATTACTAGGAAGACAACTGTTGAAAGATCTACGGAAAAGCCATTTGAATGTGTGTGAGCTAGGGCTGAACAATAACATGGATTCGGGGAAGAAAGCTGTTGGATGCCTAGAACCGGGAAGGAATCTCGCAAGGGGTCAAGAGGGTCAGTGATGGGGAACGGACTATACAGGAATCAATGTAATGTATTAGTACAGCATGAACGCAATAGGTCATGCCGTACCGGTCTTGCAAGCAGGACTATCTAGTCCTAAGTGGTTGCGCGTGAGAAGCACTTCGATAGAATGTACCTGTGAACTACAATGTAACTACTGGTAGAGATTTGGCTGTGTGATTACTGACAGTCAGGGATACTACATTAGTATGAGGTGATTTGTAATCTTCACTAGTTTGAGGGAAAGAGACAAACGGGAAAAGTCTGAAGAAAAAATAATTTTACATGAAACTTGAAAGTAAAAAAGGCTGTCATTCCGTTGCCCTGGCGAGTTTTGAAGTGTGCATGGTCTCATTCTGTCACTATGTATGTCCTATATCCACGTACCGTATTATCTCTAAGCACAGTCTCCAATAATACAATACAATAATACAATAATACAATAATAGCACGCGTCTCCAATAATAGAACACCTTGGGGCGGCATTCAAAAAATAAAGTGCTCAGTCTCCATTATAAGCACACTGTGTAAATTCATTATCTGTACCGGCGAAAAAAAACCCTGAAATGTGTGTGTCATACTAGCAAGAGTCCATAATAGGCCTTGACGGATTATGCTAGCATAATTTTTCGCATAAATCCTACCAAAATCGAATAATCGCATAATTCGAGGCAAATTGCATACGAATCGCATAAAATTGTAATAATCCGCCTGTTCGCATCAAATTCCATACAGTTGTACATGTTCTACAAGTACAAGTACAAGTGGATGCACTAGGAAGTTGTAGGTTTACGACTCCCTTGATAACATGTCCAGTCCACTACAATCAGTGATGGTCGTAGCAAGGTCGGACGGTGCGTTGCCCCGTTAAACGTTTGCTACTACAGTACAACCATGTACAACGCCCTCTACAAAATATTTCCCCTGTTATTTTGCACAGAACCATTTAGGCCTTGACGGATTATGCTAGCATAATTTTTCGCATAATTCCTACCAAAATCGAATAATCGCAAAATTCGAGGCAAATTGCATAATATTCGCATAATCCGCCTGTTCGCATCAAATTCCATAGACCATACAGTTGTACAATGTACAAGTACATTGTACAAGTAGATGCACCAGGAAGTCGTAGGTTTATGACTCCCGTGATAACAAGTCCAGTCCACTGCAATCAGTGACGGTCGTAGTTAGGTCGGACGGTGCGTTGACCCCATTGAAATTTTGCTACTACAGAATAACGCCCTCTACAAAACAATTCCCTTGTTATTTTGCACAGAACCATCATATACATGTACATTAGAAGCATAATTATGTGAGCATAATGCGGCATAATATGATAACTTTTTGCATAAAAATAGCATAATTCTGTAATTTTTTCAGCAATGCGAAAAGCATAATTTCACGAAAATATTAGCATAATCCGTCAAGGCCTAGAACCATTATACATTAGCAGCATATGTGAGCATAATGCAGCATAATATGATAACTTTTAGCATAAAAATAGCATACTTCTGCAATTTTTTCAGCAATGCGAAAAGCATAATTTCACGAAAATATTAGCATAATCCGTCAAGGCCTAGTCCATAACCCAAGAGTATGCAACTGTGATCTCTTTTCTATGGGCCAACCGCGCGGCGCGCTGCCTTCATTGTACATCATTCAGCTGCAGCCCGCGCACTGCGGAAAATCAAACACCGCACTTTCCCTCTGGTTTGAAATGAACTTTCGTACGGAACTGGAGTTCACGCGCCGAAATTTAGAGATCCCGTAGGTACTGGAACGAATCGAGCAAAAACAGATGGGCTTGTACAAGAAATTGCGGGTTTGAGGGCATGCTTTCAGAGCGTGATGGAGGCAAGTTACGTAATGAAGGCAGCGCGCCGCGCACCGACCCATAACCACAGTTGCATACTCTTGGGTTATGGACTCTTGATACTACCGTACTGGCAATATATGTTGCCGCGTAACGCGTAACGCAGGGGGGTGCGGCGTAACGCGCGACCAGGCTAGTGCGACAAATTTTCGTTGAGTTCGTAACGCGCGTCCGGCGGGGTGCGGCGATCTTTTCATTGCAGTTTGCACTGAAAAAAGGCTGAAAACTGTGAAAGCACGTGTACCATGTGTACCGCGTGGTGAAAAGTTCAAAACTGGACGCAGCAGGAAGTCCTGACACTCGAAGGCGCATCATTCAGTGGTTGGCGATCTCAATGGTTTCTTCTTTCCCGAGGTCGTTTTGCGATGTGTTTACCAGTTTCCTTGTGACAATGCAGAAGTCTCTATTCGCCTTCGGCGTGAAGAAAATCACGCCCAAGCATCATTCAGTGGTTGGCGATCTCAATGGTTTCTTCTTTCCCGAGGTCGTTTTGCGAAGAAGAGCGATGTGTTTACCAGCAAAAAAAGGACTGCGGCAATATAGAAACCTGTGTAACGGCTCCTGTGCGACTTTGCATGTAACGCCCTGTGTGCGGCAAACATGTGCCAATGTAACGCTTCATGGCCTCACTGCGGCAACATATATTGCCAGTACGGTAGTACATGAATTTGGCATGGCAACATGCCTCTGAAATGAAGTTGAAATAATGATGGAACAGTCTCCAATAAAGGA